AAAAAAAAAAAAAAAATGTCAAAAACATATAGGGAAAAACAAGCGAATATTTCATCCCACTAACAAACAATAATACATGCAATGAGCGCAAAAAGTACACTGATCTCCTCCTCTTTTACTTCATTTCTTTTTCTTTTATTTTTTTTTTTCTTCTTATCATTACCACAACACCAAATAAAAATGATGAAAAAAAAAAAGAAAATAATAGAAAAGTAGGAAAAAAAAAACAACAAAACAAAACAAAACAAAAAGAGGTCTGGGTACATTATGCACTATCATGATGATTTATCATCACTAAAAAACCATGCCACAACACTCTCCTCTGATGAACACGGTTCCACTGGCGCCGTCATCGCCTCTGTTATGGATGCGTACAGTTCAGCACAACGAAGTACATCGAAACCGAACTTTTCCACGTTTGTTTTAAAAACGATAACATCTAATTGCATGACACTTCTCAAGTCTCCATCCACAACAGGCGAGAGCGTTACGGCACGAATCATTCGAGCAAACGTCCCGAGAAGTGGCACTACGACACCACGACAATCCTCTGGTGGCATCAATGGCTTTAATGCTCGCATTAATCTCGCCACCTCTCGCAACATTGTCATTACCCATTCATTACCGGATGTCTGCCACTGTTCAGCAGGGACGGTTCCAAGACCATCTACCTTCTCTCTCACTAAGGCAGATATTTTACCAAAAATCTCACAGCGGAAAGTCCAACAATCCTTACGAACTCTCGCCATATCATCACAACTAGCAGGTGGCAATTTATCAGCAGATGTTGCCTTAAGCCAACGTTTTTGCATAAGAGGTATGGCATCATATAAAAATCCCAAATTCTGAGAAGCAATAGCCATATGCTGCATTGTTATAGTCTGAAGAACACCATTTTCAACAGCCATAGCTCCTAAAATGAGTGCAGCACATTGTGAATCATAAAGTCTAAGAAGATCATACATCTTTCCCATGATGTCAAAAGCAAGGAAAGGAAAACGACCTAAATAGTCATCATAGTCTCGTAGCATTTCAATTAATAATAATAGTGATCTACTTACCACCCGTCCTTTAGAATGTTCTCCTACAGGTGGGAGAAACAAGAGTGTATTTTTCACTACTCTTGGATTATTTTCCAAATTATCTTCTGTATTCCCTACATTTGTTTCTCGTACCATTGTTGTTGTCGTCGTTGTCGTTGTTGTTGATGATGATGATACAGATAAACAAACAGGTTTATGTCTACTACCACTTGTTAGGTCAGTAAAAACAGCACGTGCTTGCAGTTCTGTAATGGCCACATCATCACTATTACAAAGTATATCCACACAAGATTGAAATGCAACGTCAACAGGTTCTCGCTGCCATGTTTCATTCTCAATTGTTACACGTAGTTTTTCTATACTTTCTACGTGATGAGATCGAAAGTGTTCTTTGGTTAGTTTTGTTACAGCAGACTTCATTTGTTTCCCTGAGATAAATGTCCATGGATCACCAATATTCCCACAAACTGACAAAACTCCTTGTAATTCATTTACCATATTTGGTAAAAAATCACATCCTACTGATACAAGCGCTTCAAGTTCTCGAACATTTGTTGGTGCTTTCCCTTGTTGACTTCGTACTTCCAGTAGCATGGCAACAATACCTTCAGCCCCTGTACACAAGATAGATAAATATTTTTTAGTGTCCTCTGCAGTTGGTACACTACTATTCTCATTATTATTATTATTATTATTATTATTATTATTATTATTATTATTATTATTATTATTATTATTAGTGTTATTAGTGTTTTTCTCAGGATTTGGAATACTTTCAAGAACTAGAAAACCCCAACGTTGAGCTGCTTGATTAACAAATTGTAGGATATGATTCAGAATATGACTCACTAACTGCATGTACATAGGGAACCGACAAGAGCTACTATGATTAAACAATTTTAGTTTTTCCTCACGAAAGGAATGAGCCGTTACTGCAGTTGAAAGAAGAGTATCAGCTGTATGATCACTAAGTGTACAGTTACTCATTATAAAAGCTATAAATGTCTCACGAACACTCATCCAAAGTGCCTCAAGAAGTTGATCTCGACAATGTTTTACAGTTGTAGACCACATACCCATACTAACAGCAGAAAGAAACGCCCTTACAACACAGCCATCATCAACATCATTTCGTATATTAGGAATAAGACCTGCTTGCATTTCTTCCATAATCATAATGCAGAGTTTTTCCTTCACTTGCATTAGACGTTGTGGAAGATCTCTCAACGAAGTTAATTTCATCATTGAATTTACTTCTGTAGAAGTTTTTTTCCTAATATGCGTTTCCACATTATTATCTAGATTAATAGTATCTTGTATGGAGCAGTAGTTCTCAACAACAAATAAAAGTTCCATCATATCTCGCTCAGGAAGTGCTACCCAATTCTCAACAGCTGCCACTTGAGAAGAAACAGATGTTACTATTTCTGCCAAATCAAGCAAAGCACGAAGATTATTTCGAGTTCTATAACGTTGCGCAATTACCATCATTTCTCGAACTAAACTTTTTCCAAACACTCCAATATCTGATCTAGTTTGTTGAAGATCCTTTAGTGTCTTTTCTGCCTCTGCTGCTCGATCTCCTAATTCATGCGAAGTAGAAAAAAATTCTTCTGATCGACTTTGAACATGTTGAAGTAGACAATGTTCAACAGCACTTTCCCATTTTCGAAGTTCCTTCATTCTAGATTCAATCACCTCAAAATCATCTGTAAACGTCTCTGAATCACCGGTACCATCACCCTCTTCTTTTTCTGTTCTCTCTTTTATTTGCTCCATTATCTTTTGCTCCAAGAGCCAAAGTTCATTTTTAGGATCATAAGAAGATTTGAAAAACTCATCTGGAACATCTGATGGCCACGGAAAATTTTCATGTAAGAGAGAAATACCATCAGTGTTAGCAAGTTGGATATTTGAACTTGATATTGAAGTCCTATGTCGTCCTTCTTCACGATTAACATTATATGGTGCAGAAACAAGGTGAAGGTATGAAGAATAGTCTTCCTGTAGATTATAACGTGCAAGTAAAGACTCTGATGATGATAGGGATGGACTCACCCCATCAATACCACCTTCAGTACCTCTTACACGTCCACTATCACGTGTACCAAAAACAACGTGACCGAACCAAGATCCCCAACTATTGTTATTGCTATTAACTCTCGTTTCTCGTGGATCATTAAGAATAGAGATAAAGCTCTGACCAACACTAGAACTCAAATCAAGGAAAAGTGCCCGTGTAACAGGATCTAATGCAGAAAAGGGTTCACCATTTTTATGAAAGTCTATTGCAGTTGTAGTTCTTGTTTGGGGTACGGCGTTAAGGACAGCCCTCACTAGCATTGGTGGTAACGGTTCATCCTTGTATTCTGTGACCCAATGAGCCATTTGTTTTCGAAGTTCTGCTGAGGATACACCGCTGCGAATACACTCTTCCACCACCAACGGAGGAACACCAAGTGTGAGAGCAATGCGAGAACGACTCCATCCACGTCTTGCCATAAGAAAGGCACAGAGTATTGCAGCAGGATCATTGTTCTTTTCCAGTACACATGATGACGTTAGACTTCCCTCTTGTCTCACTAACATCTATTTGTTTCCTCCCTTTGTCTTCTTTTTTTTCCTTTTTTTAATGCTTTTGTACCACCTTCGTTTTTTTTTTTTTTTTTTTTTTTTTTTTTTTTTTTTTTTTTTTTTTTTTTTTTGCGCATACAGAATAGCCAAGGAAAAAAAAAAAAAAATAACAATAAAGAAAATAATTAAAGAAAAAAAGCGTGAGATTCTCTTTATAATCCCCCTTTAGCTTCGATATCCAAAGCCATCATGCACAAACAAAACAAAACAAAACGTGAGAAAAATCCCCATACTATTTCAGATCCCCTTTAACCTTTTTCCAAGAGATATTCATAGCAATAACAACCAACTATACTTATTGTTAGAGATTAGCCATTGAGAGAGGGTCAGCACCTAGAGTCCCTTGACGATTTAGACTATAACACCATGAATGGTTACAAGGGGATAAGGATCATAGGAAAAAAAAAAAAAAAATCCATTTCCCTGACTGATTCTCACAGGTCTAGAAGTCCAAACAAGACAACAAGATAGTATTACTATCATTATTACTACAAAAAGAAAGGTAACACAAAATATCAACTATTCTGCCTCCACTATCTTTACTAAGTTTCACAAATAAGACTAAAAAAAAAAAAAAAAAAAAACAGAGCTGATGCATTTTTTCCCAACTCACCAAGTCCTAACCCAGAAAAAAAAAATAGGAATAAAAACAGTCAGGCACACAAAATCATTTTTTTTTTTTTTTTCACTTTTTCTTCACCATGGATAAACTTCGTTGCCCTTTTTCACATATTCATTTATAGGATCCTTTTGTGTCTACTTTTTTCCCCCGAAAACTAACTTAGGATTTATTATATTCCTACTTCCGTTGACGGGCACGTCCAATGGCGTCAGCGGTTTTTAGTGCATTGAAAACAGCTTTAGCTGTTATTACACCTGCCTCATTGTGGATGGTTTCACCGGATGCGCACGCAGCTATCGCTACCTTCATAAGCGCCTCATCACTCACTTTACCGCAGTTAATGTCAGCAAGTGTCGTTGGCAGCCCAACGCTCTCACAGAAACTGTAGACAGTGTCAATTACTTGTGGTGGCTTGTCAGTAAGCATGAGAGAGGCGAGAACTCCAATAGTAACTTTCTCACCATGCCAAAACGTGTGAGCCTCTGGCAAAAGTGTGAGGCCATTATGAATAGCATGTGCTGCGCCAAGCCCAGCGCTTTCAAATCCAAGACCAGAAAGCAATGTGTTTGCTTCAATAACACGTTCCAACGCCGGACAGTTTACTTTTGCTGCGCAGGCCTCTTTCGCCAGTACGCCATACTCCAGAAGTGTTTCATAGCACATACGAGCAAGACCAAGTGCAGTGTAAGAACCGAGACGACCTGTCATGTTAGGCTTGCGGTTCGCTGCACATGACTCTGCTTCAAACCAAGTGGCGAGGGCATCACCCATTCCCGAGACTAGGAAGCGTACGGGTGCCTGACAAATAATGTCGCTGTCCACAAGTACCAAACTGGGATTTTGAGGGAACAGAAAATAGCGGTCAAATTCCCCTGTTTTTTTGTATATGACAGAGAGGGCACTACACGGAGCATCTGTGGAAGCCAGTGTAGGCACTACCGCAACAGGAACATTCAATACATGTCCAACAACCTTTCCAGTATCTAGCATCTTTCCGCCACCAACACTGGCAACGACATCAATGCCTTTATTAGCAGCAAGTCTGTTAATTTCTTCGTCACAGCACTCTCCTTGAAAGACCTCTACAACAGCATCCACCTTTCCACCAAGTGACTCCTGTAATTTCGAACTGTATTGGGTGGCAACAACAGGATCCTGCAATAGAAGAACTTTTTTTCCGAGGCGAGAGAGTTCCTCACCCAAAAGATTGATGGCACCAGGTCCTTGCACATAGCGTTTGGGGAAGATGGACGTGGTAACATTACCACACTCCCCAGTACGCAATATGATAGTGGCAGCAAATCGAGAAAGCTTAGAAAAATGCAACATTTGATACTCAAACTGTGATGCGAAGTAAGCTAAAAAAGAAAAAAAGAAAAAAAAAAAAAAACGTTATATGTGGTGAAGAACAATCACACAGAACCTATCTCGTATATGGAAACAAGTAAAAAAAAAAATTTCTCTTTTTTTATCTCTATGATAGAAACAGCAACACTATATTCCTGATCTTCACACTCACAACAGTATGAAGCACAGGTAAAACTTTCAGTGGCCTTCAAAGAACTTTATGACTTCCGACCAAAATAAATAAAACCACGCATAAAAAGTAGTCATGAGAATGTGGGTATCGAACCAGAGAAGGCAACAAATACCTCAATAAATCACCACACACTTTCAAATGTGACGATAACCCTCTCGCATCAGTACGCATGAACTTCAGAAAAACAAAACACATACATATTGAACACAGGAAGGAAGAAAACGTCACAAAATACACAATGAATCAAAGAGGCTTACTCGCTCTCCAAAATGAAATAATGGAAATAGACTCTAACACAAAGAGAAATAACTACTTTCAACGTCTCACGTGATGTACGGTAAACGACTCATCATTATCATCATTAGGAGTCTCCACTCTGGTGCTTTCATCATCCTCGTACCGACTTTTCAACGGCATACCCTCTGCGCCGATGTGATCAGTAAGATCAGAAACGCTAGCCAAGCTGGGAATAGAGACTTTAGAAGAAGCCAATGATTCACTCACACCGAGGCCCTCCAACTCTGTCAATGCTGGTGGGTGTACCTCTGCGCGCCCAGGAAAAACCTCTGATTTCTCAGCTCCACTATTCATGGAGGTTTCCACTGCTGACGTGGTTAACGCTGAATTGCTGTCAGCTGGGTGCAGAGGCACCACTGCAGGGGGTGGGGGTGGT